CCCCCCCCCCCTTCCCTCCTTCACACACCTCGGGTTTGTTTAAAAGACTTCATCTTGTACTGTGTTCTTTTAAACAGTGTACCACATGAGGCAAGATGGCTGGATCAAAGTTTCTCAAACAGACGTGGCAAAACTTCACTATCAATACCAAGAAGAAAAAGAGAATTAGAAAGAGCAGAAATTTGTAGTTTGATAAGTTATGTGCTGAAGGACTCAATAAAATTGTTTCAATTACTGTAAAAAACAGTGTCGTCCTTTGGGATATGCAAAAGCATGTCCCTACAATCAGATAGCAGATTTGAGGTACGTAGAATGTTACCTGTTTCGTGTGAGTTTTGTGTGATGTTGCTTCATTATGCCCACAATGTTGTCTTTTCTGCTCGGCAAGAGAAAGATAAATAATTTTAAGCACTTGATCGCTAGTTGAGTCGATGTGGGTGTGAACTAGCTTGGATGCGAAACCTGCAGCATCCGTTACATCTATTGCAGGGCTGAGAGTTGGCAATGAGCAACGCTTCTGTTGATAGAAACCAACAGCGAGAACTGTAGTCTAATTGTCTTAGCACAACCCATAGACTTTGTACAAGTCGTTCACTTCTCGTTGAATAGGGCCAGTGCGAGGGTCCAGCTCTCGCCATCTCAATCACTCGCGCTCCAAATGGCATTTATGGGTATTTAGTTTTCCCCAATTATTCTCCAGTCATGTACTTTTTGTAATTTCTGTGATTTATTTACTTGTACTAACATGACAAAGTATTATTAAACTTACATGTAAACTTAAACTTATTCGCGCACTCTATTCGATCGCCCTCCGCCCTCTCTAAGCTTGACTTGTAAGCAAGTCTACATAAGCCAATAGCTGACTTTTTCGAAATAGAATATCAAAGTTTAAGCTTGAAAAAGCAAGTGTGCCTTCTGAAGACCTTCTAACAGATATTTGTTTTTTGATTTTATTTTCTAAACTTTCCCTGAAATCTGCACAGTCAACACAATCTAGATGTGAGTGTACCGTGATGTTTTTACCGTGTCTAAATAGAGTTAATTCTTGGTATCAGAGGCTAAGCAGTCTGAAGCTTAATTCCAATTTCTTGAGTTTCGGTTTTTGTACAAATTGACCACATAGGCTTGTGTTATTTGACGTTTTTGATCCTCTACTTATTTAGAGAAATATTAACTCAGGGATAGATTGAACATATTGTAGTATTTGTAAATCCTGCTGAATTTTCACCGAAAGATTAAAGATTAGGGCGAAAAGCTTCATCAATACTGCGAACACAGATCGATACGGGAGCTGAGAATAGACGCAAAGGCGTATCAAGAAATGGTCTATTGTTCCGGCTCAACATCACACGTTAAGCAAAAATGAATAGCCTTTTATTCTTGGTAACCCTGAGGGACTTCGTCCGAAGCCAAACCAAAATCGTCGCCGTTGTTCGGAAAACTTTCGGCAGAACAATTAAGCTGCACTTGGGGGTGGGCAGCGTAATTTTTTCTCTCGTTAAGTCAATTCTCACCGGTGTACCCCAAGGCAAATTGACCGCCGCTGAGCGCATCGAGGTGATCACAATTCAAAAACTAATTATCCACGTGTGTCGCATTCGGACCACGTCTCTCTAAATACAACCCCCGGTTTAAATCCTTTTTATTCTAATTCCGACTCGTTTTAATAGGTATGCTGCTGAAAACATTCTTTGTCTGTCATTCGTGCGGCGTTACAACTTTTCTGCTTTTTATTA